GTCCCTGTGCTTTGCTAAGCTTGTTCTAAGTAGGTGCTTTAGACCACTGAGCCATCTCACCAGCCCCAAGGCAGAAGGTTTTGTGTTTTTTGGTTTTTTGTTGTTTTTTTTGCTCCGAATGCCTTCAGGGCATGATTGGCTGGCTTGAGTTGTGGGGATCGAACCACCGCAACCTGAGCCTGACCGCTTTGGTGAAGCAGCCACTTAAAGAACTGAGCTAAGGGGCGGGCCCCCTGAGAGTATTATCTTGAAGATTTTTATATCTATGTTCATTAAGGAGATGGGCCAGTAGTTATTTTTTGGTTGGCTCTTTCTCTGGTATTGCTGTCAGGGTAATGTTTGATCCTAGAATGAGTGTGGGAGTATTGACTCCCTTTAAAGATTTTGAGTAGTAATGGCATTAGAACTTCTCGAGATTTCTTATGGAATTCTGTCAGTTTTAAGGTGTTTTTGGTGGTGGTGGTGGTGGGTTCTTAAATTATGCCATCAATTTCAAAGATTAATACTGGGTCATGAGAAATTTTTGTATCTTCTTGATAGTTTTGGTACTTCATGTGTATCTAGAAATCTGTCTTTTTTTTTTTTTTTCCACTTGCCATCCTATTAGAGTACAGGTTCTCAAAATAGGTACTGATGATCTGCTGCAAAGTCTGTTGGGATTTCACCCTTTCATTCCTAATTGCATAGATTTGAGTCTTTCTTTGAGAAGACCAAGGATTTGTCTATTTAATCTTTCAAAGAAGCAATTCAATTCTGTTCTTTGTATTTTCTTAATTTCATTTGCATTAATTTCTGATCAGGTCTTTATAATTTCCTCCAATGTCTGCACTTTGTTTAATTTACTCTTCTTTTTACTAAAGAAGCTTGGGGTTCAACATTAGGTTATTAATTCAGCTCACTTTTTCTGTTGTGACAGTTCACTGCTATAAATTTTCCTTGTAGGGCTGACTTAATTGTGTCTCTTAAGTTCTGGTATGTTGTATTGGTATTATAATTTAATTATAGAAACTAATTTCATCTGACTCATTGGTTGTTCAGGAGAGTGTTAACTTCCATGTGTTTATTGTTTTTGTGGTTTCTTTGCACTGTGATTGCCAATTGATCTCCTTTGCACTGTGATCTGATAATGGAATAATTTCAATAATTTTTTTTATTTTTTATTTGTTAGAGAGAGAGAGAGAGAGAGAGAGAGAGAGAGAGAGAGAGAGAGTGTGTTGTGTGTGTGGCCAGCTCAGCCCACCAGGGGGCGGGGCTGGCTGGCATGTGGTGCTGGGGGATTGAACCGCGGTCCCTGATGCTTTGCTAAGCTTGTTCTAAGTAGGTGCTTTAGACCACTGAGCCATCTCTCCAGCCCCTGGAATAATTTCAGTTCTTTACATTTATCTAAGTATGTTCTGTGGGCTAGCGTTTGGTCTGTTTTGGAGAAAATCCCAGGTGCAACTAAGAATATGTATTGTGTTGTGGAGGGGAGGCACTCCATAGACATCTACTAAGTCCATGTGTTCAAAAATTTGGTTCAACTGATACTTTTTGTTTAACTCATCTACTTGTAAAAGTGGACTATTGAGATCTCCCATTACAACTGTTTTTGTGCTTATTTGATTTTTATTTATATTAATGTTTATGTTGTTAGGTGCACTGGTATTTTGGTGCAGATATATTTTTAATCACTTCCTCTTGGATTGTTCTCTTATGTAGTGACCATCTTTGTCTCTCTTGACCAGTCTTAGCTTGAAATCCACTTTGTCTGCAAGCAGAATAGCTACCCCTGCTTTTTTCTGATTTCCTGTCACAAGTAGTTTTCCATCTTTGACTTTCAGTCTTTGAATTAAATGTTTCTTGAATGTAGCCTATTGTTGGATCTTGTTTCTTGATCAAGTTTGCCAATCTGTTTCTGATTAGTGTACTGAGACCATTTACATCTATTGTTATAACTGAAATGTACTGACTTATCCTTGTCATACTACTTTCCTGTTGGTGGTTCCCTTTCTTTGTACCTGTTTGCTGGCCTGGCCTGGCCTGGTGGATTCATTCTATTTGGGATTCATGAATTGTTGTCATCTTTTTCTAAAGTATCATTTGTAGCTTTTTGGAGTCCTGGTTTGCTGGTCATGAATTGCTTCAGATGTTATCATGGTAGCATCTTATTTCTCCATTAATTTTAAAAGCATTTTATATAGTGTATCAGTCTGTGTTGGAGGTTGTTTTCATTTAGGGCTCAAAATACTTCACTCCCTTGACTTAAGGGTTTGAGCTGCAAAGTCTGTTGTAATGTTGGTGGGCTTAGTTTCTTTTTTCTAATAGCTTTAGAAAAAAAAAATTTATTTATTTGGTACAGGATCTCACTTTGTAGCTTGGACTCATAGTGATCCTCCTGTCTCAGCCTCCCCAGTGCTAAGATTACAGGCGTGCACCACTACGCCTGTTTTCAGTGGCTGACACAGTGTGTCCAGGGTCCTAGGGCCAGTGTGGCATGCAGTACCAGGGATTGAACCAGGGTCCTTAGGCTTACCAGGCAGGTGCTTAGCCAGTCTCTCTCCCTGGCCCTCTAATAGCTTTTAATAGTCTGTTCTCGTGTTGAATTTCTGGAATCTTGACTATTGCAGTGGATTGCCAACTGGTGGTCAACTTGTTACACCCAGCTGAATTGAACTAGCATAATACTGTACGTAGGAGGCCCACCTGAGGACTGCCAGCAGCATAAGAGGCAGAACCAGGGAAACTGCTGCTTCTCTTGGGCTATTGGGGGCCCTTGTCATGCTGGCTTTCCTGGAGCTCTTGGTAGTTCTTGTTACAGGAGAGACTTCAGACTTTGTTGCTAAGGATGGCTGTGGTACTTTTTGGAGTAGCTTTTGTTCTTACCTTGAACATTTCTTCCCATTTCCAGTTCAGATTCCTCAGCCTGCTAGCACAGATCCTTAACCCCACTGGCACAGACTTTCTGGCTCCCACCACTGAACTTTCTGCCTTCCCAGTGTAGATCCATGAAGCAGGCCTGTAAGAGACATTGTCATGGGCTCTAAGTTTCCAGTTGGACTTGTGGGAAGCATGGTTATGAGTTCCGGGATTTCAGCTGCACTCATGCAGAATCTTAGGATCCAGGCCCTCCGCTGAATTCTTTGGTTTTTAGTGTATGGACTGATTTCCTGCACTCTGTGTATGATTCTTTGGGTGATTCATTATAATCTTACAAAATGTGTCCTGTATTGTATCATTCCCCTTGCAAAACCCCAGATTACAACTATTATGTCTTGGTGTAATTTTTTTCTTATCATAGCTAATTGGAGTTCTGTATGCCTCACATGTCTGTCAAATTCTTTTTCCATGCTTGGGAAGTTTTCTGCCATTACTTATTAGAATGGGTTTATGTCCTTTATGCTATCAGTTTTTTCTTTGATTCCTATCATCCTTGTGTGATTTGCATCATCTAGCAGCTGTTACTTTTTCATGGTCCCTTGCTACTTTCAATGTCTTTCACTTGGTGATTGCTAACCACAAACCCAATATAAATTATAATCTGTCCTCACATTGCCATAAGTAATCTATGAGCATCAACACAGAAATTTTAAAAATAGAAAATGAAAAAGACATGGAAGGGACTGGGGAGATGGCTCAGTAGAATAAGTGCTTCCCTGGCAAGCACAAGGGCCTGAGTTCAATCCCTGGTTCTGAAAAAAACAAAAAACCAAAAAACATGGAAGCAAGATATATCCCCAGACTTCCAGTTTACCCAAGACAAATCCAGGAGAAACTGAAGTGGAAGAAGTCCAAAGCCACCCAGCTGAACTTTCTCAAATAGCTATAGCAGAATTTCCTGTAAATATTCATGTGTAATGGCAGAATTTTTAATCTCTTGGATATCTATCTGAATCTGTTCTATGGGGTGTACAGTTTTGTGGTAGTTTCCAGTTCACAGCATGTCTTCATGGTCTCTGGTAGATAAAGGAATCAGAGCCCAGAACCATACTGGACAATCCCAGCAAGCCTCTAGTAGGAATAGGGTGGGACACAGATCCTGGTGCTTTCAGCTCCACTGAAGTTCAGGCTGATCCTGGCCTCTGGTCGTTGGATTGGGGCCTGACTTGTTCAGCCTACAACAGTCTGGGTGCCTCTTCTCAGCCTGACCTCTGCTCCCTGACCCTGGCTGTCTCCCATAGTGGTGCCTCATGCAGTCACTGGGAGCCTTGAGAGAGCACCAAGCCACGACTGCTCTGAATCCTGGGTTCATTTGCACCCTCCCTATATTGGCATCTGTCCAAGCTCCTTCTCCAGGGGACACTTGGACTGGAGACACCAACTGTGACAGTTCACAGCATCTACTGCTCCTTTCCAGTGTGTTTCTCTGCAGAGGCCTCTGGGGCCCTGAACTTCACTGTGTCCCTAGATTTAAGCCTCTCTCACACCACAAGCAGGGAGTCAGGGAGAAAGTGGACTTGCCACCTTTGTCTGCACTGAGGTCCGTCTCTTCATTTTTCTCTGTAGGCTTACTGAATGCTGGGATTGCAGGCATGAAGTATAATGCCCAGCTAGAATAAACTATTATTGTTCTTGTTCAGCACCCCCAAGCAGCTTTGCTGTAGGAATAAATTTGCTGTTTCTCTTAACAATGCAGTGGGGTCAGCAAACCTTTTCTATAAAGGGCCAGATAGAAAATACTTTACTGTTTGTGGGCTACAGTCTGTCACAACTGTTCAATTCTGCTACTGTAGCATAAAAGCCACTCCTGACTGTATGTAAAAAATGAACATGGTTGTGTGCTAATGTTTAGTAAACAGGTGGCAAGAATTTGGCCCAAGAGCTGTCATTCAGTGGTAGAGACCAATCTAGATAGCAAAAGTTAAAGAGCTTGAAAAAAATACTTTCCTGTTTTGTGATAAAGTTGTGCTATCGTGCATTTCCTTCAACTGACCAAAGTGGTAAAAATATAGTGTCTGTGTCACTGAGCAACACTCTCTCTTAGATTCTGTGATGTCAGTGTGCAAACCCCCTTCTCTTGACAGACACACACCGATGCAGAGAGGAGACGCCGGCCACTGACTCCCCCTGATGCTGCTGTCCTCCGCTCAGCACTCCTGCTAACATGGGCTGTATGAAATCAAAGCAGACATTCCCATTTGTCACCAACTTTGGGACTGAGCGGCAAGGTGGGAGTGAAGACAGCTTTATGCCTGAAGAGAGGTTACGCAGGTTGTCTTCCCCGTGTAAAGCTCAAGGGGACATGAAGGCACACCCAGGGGCCAACACCGCAGTTATGGCGTATGCAGACCGCCTGTCCCGGGAGATCCTGCGTGATGCCTTGCAGCAGTGGGCATGCAATCACATCAAGTACTGTGACATTCCATACATTGAGAGTGAGGGCCCGTGACCTGTGGGATGTAGCACCTTGCTGAACTGTGCATAGAGTCGGTGCTAGTATAAATACATGAGCCAAAAGCAAAACTGTGTAAGTCATGTAAAAGCATGTGTGCCCACATCTCTGGCGCAGGAATACCGCAGAGGAGGGGTTTCACAAGCAGCTCTGTGCCAGCAGCAATGTGGAGCTGCTTGCTCGTGGATTCTAGTCGTGGAAGGGCCAAGTGGGGACCTGTAGCACCCAGTAACCATGTCTGTCACACTAGCTTCATCCAACATGGTCACGGCATCACCAAAGAAAACAAAGAGGAACAAAAGCCACAAGTTCCAAAAATTAGCAGAAAATTATTTTCTGTTAATGCCTATCAAAAAAACCCTCCCAGACAGGAGAGTTTCTGTTTTCTCTCAAAAAGCCTTGACCAGAGAAGGGAACTCACAGTGCAGTGCTCCGCAGTGGCTCTTGTTTGCCTGTGGGCTCCATGTCCTGAAGAGGGCCACCTCACCCCGCAGCACCCTCAGGAGCCATCACTGTTGATGGACAGCTTTGCAAATACAGTCAAACCTTGGGCTGTCAGGAACTTCGGGCCCTAAGTGTTCTGAAAGACGAGCAAATATTTTTAAGAATGTTCACCTCGATGAATGAGTTGTAATATGAGTATCACATGGCGCATACCACATGATCACAGCTGGTTCTCTAACCACTTTGATGTACAAATGCATTGGATTCAGAGTGGCATGAATTCTTGCAAGCCAAGGTTTTACTGTACCGCCATCTTAAAAAGATACACTTTATAGAAGCTATGACATTACTATTGTATTCAATTAAGAAATCATAAATGTAATAGCCTTTTAGAAAAAAAAATCCAGTAAATCTTAAAAATAGAAACCCAGCCTGCAAGGTAGAAAACAGCAGCCAGAGTCACTGGGAGTTGGGCAGGATGCCTCCTTGGCTCAGAGATGCTGCACATCCCAGGCTACTTACTGCAGGGCAGTCACTGTGCACTTCACCAGCAAGGATTCCCGTGTATCACAGACGGCAGAGTGCTCCTTCGGGAGGCGGTCTGTGTGTCACTTTTAGGGGTAGCATGCATTCATAGGGCGTTTTTTGCCATATACTATATTTTTAAACTTCTAAAAACTGTCACAGCATTCTTTTTTTTAAAAAAAAAGTTAAGTATTTGAAGATGAAAGACATAATCTAGGGAAGGAACATTACCAAGAAGATGAAAGGATTAAGTCTGAGGTTGAATGGCTGCACATTGAGCTTCACTGGAAACTAAGCATGTACGTGTCAGGACCTTTTATTACGGGACAGTCATACATCAATGTTGCTGAAATCTTAAGGTGGAAAAGGGCTTCTGGCCTCGTAAGCAACAGAAAAACTACCTCTACTCTTACAGTACTCTGAGGCCCACAGTGGAATGAGTGAGGCATGGCACTGTTCAGTGGCTTTTGCACACCTGATCATCCAGCTTAGTTTTGCCCCCTCAATGTACACTGTTCCATTTGCCACCTATACAATAGGACCTGATGTCACTGGCTGAGGCCAGCAAGTTTCCTAAGGTACAGAACATTTATAGCCCATGAAATGTTTTACTGAATGACTCAGACAAAAGGCCTACATGTTTTCACTCGTTTTATATCCTACATCAGGGATATTTTTGCTGCAAGGTCATTTGCCACTTAAAAGATAAGTATATAAAATACTACACACCCCAGTGAGAATGGAAAGCCATAAAGCAACATGTGACAGATTTTTTAGGACAGACAGTGGGTTTGGTTCCATCTGAGTAGCGTAGCTTCAGCGTATGTGTGCCCTGTGGCCCCTATGTCCCAAAGGTGGAGCAGGCATGGCTGGCAGAGCCACACCGAGGAGCCTCACCTCCATCACCTTGATAGCTCTAGTAGCTTTCATCACCAAGCAGCAGCCCTGAATGAGGAACCACAGAGCTTGCATAACTGGTGAGTCAATGATAAAGCTCATGGGAGAAGAATAAGTAGACACTGCAAGTGACAGTGTGGCCCCAAGGGCAGTGAGAACAGCTTTGATAATCAGCCTTCTCATGAAAAAATAAGAGTGAAAGGAACCCAGTAAGAGGGGTTGCCGCAGGAGCCACTGACGCTGGAGAGGGAAATTCTCGCCTGTCCTGGCACGAGCAGCCCACGGGGCTGGTGAACAGCCAAGGGTGGGAATAAACCGCTCCCCAGCAAGCCACCCCGATGCTGCCCCTGAGTGGCCTCTGGCCTCTCCCTCCCACACTGCAGCCATTCCGGTCCATGCCTCTGGCCCTAGGAGTCTCCACTTTTAGTTGCCTTACAGGTTTGCAAACAATATTCAGCACAATTTAGGAGGAGACAAGAATGATTAGATTATCATTTTAGCCTCAAACTGCCTTAGTATTAAAACTCAACATTGACATAGCCTGCTACTCAGATTGCACGCAGTTACAGCCACCTCATGAGATGAGGTGCAAGGATATTCTTGCATTATCCAAATTCAGAAATCAAAAAGTAAGACACTCTAATATCAGAAAACAGTAATTTAAAAACAAAGCTCTGCCAAGTGCACGTGTTCATCAGCACGCCCTCCTGCCTCCACATGACCGACTAAGCCACGAGCATGGCTCCAGGGGCCCACCCACATCGTGTCCGAAGTCCGAAACTCAGATTGCATCAGAAAGTCTCTCCCATAACAGCTATGAAGTGGGGTATTTTTGCAAATATTTTTGTGAAAACATTTTTGTAAATATACAATAAATTCTAGTTGCAATAGCTATGAATTATTTACTTGGAGCAAATTGTTTTCAACATTATATAGTTTCAATTTTTTAACATAAGACTTACCATTTTCTGTACTGTTGTCAGTGTAAAGTGAATCAACACCCGTGTCATTTTTTTAATTATTTAGGTTTAAAAGTTTTACAACTATAAATGTAAACATGTCCGGTATCATAGCATCTTCATTCCAAATCTGTTCCTCTACTTTCTGGAAGAAAATGGAGGGCTGGGCTGTGATCTTTGTATCCATGAGGAGGACACAGGCCTCTGATGTCCTTGCCCTCCTGTTGGCTTTTTATTTGTAAAGTTCTTGGTTTCTGAGGGTTGGGATGAAGATATTGTAACCAAGTGCAAAAACAAGGAGCTGACCTTCTGACATAAAAATCATCCTTACCTAATACCTGAAGATCTTAAGCCTGGAATAATCTAGTTTCCGGTCTCCCTTACAAAAAACACTTGTCAGGAGTATCAATTATTGTAAGTATTTTAAACTGTATCTATGTATTTATTTAGGAGTCAGGAACTGAACTCAGGACCTCATGATTGCCAGCCAGCCATTGTACTAATGAGCTATATCCCCGGCCCACAAGCTGCTTTTAAACAAAAGTTTAAATTACAAAAAGTAAAAGGTGTCTCAGAGCCTGGAGTTTGCTAATCTTCCACTAGAAACAGATACCACAAGTACCAGAAAACACCGCTCTCGCTCCCAACCCAAAAAGGCACTTTGGGTACTGCAGAAGTGAAAGCTAAATACAAGGTTCCCATTTCAATTAGATACAACTGCTTAGTCTCCAGAGACATTTGAATTTTTCCTTTTTTCTTTTTTTTGGAGACAGGGTTTCAGTAGGTATTTCAGGCTGGCCTTGAACCCACAGTGATCCTCCTGCCTCAGCCTCCCATGTACTGGAATATAGGCGTGCTCCACCAGGATGGTCTGTCTTCTAAAGCAGGGGTTGGCAAATGTTCTGAAAAGGATCAAGCATCAGACAGTAAGGATTTTAGCCTTTGTAGGTCACACACACCCTGCTGCCAGGACTCAGAGCAGCCACTGATAATGCAAAAGCAGACGGTGCAGCTCTGTTCCCGTAAAGATCAATTCATGGACACTGAGATTAGAGGCATTACAGTTTTTACGTATCATGAAGTATAAGCCTTGACTTCTTTCCCAACCATTTAAAAATGGAAAACCATTTCTAGTTTGCAGGCTAGATAAAAGAGGCCCTCAGGCCAGGTTTGGCCACCTGCTACACTTTGCAAGCCCGCTCCACAACATGCAGTCCTTGAAGGAGCAGTCACCTCAGAGCACCAAGTCACCGCTTCCCAGTGGCTTAAAGTAATTATCCAGCTCTTCATCAGTCATGTCTTTCAGGTCAGCTGGTTTCCACTTTGGACTCTGGTCTTTATCAACTAGAACTGTCAAAAAGAAGATACAGATGTCAGAAGTTGCTGATGTTGGGACATTTCTTTCTGGTACTACCAGCTCTTAAGCACTCAATTGACAGGAACTGTTTGGTATAGGCGTTCTATTTTCTATATCTATATATCTTTCCTGCAAAGTTTAAGCTTGGCACATGTTCCATTTTTATTTCCAAATTCAACCCTCAAAGAATCTGAACAGACAATATATTTTCATTACCCAGCGCAGAGATTTTGTCCTCTCTGACCTTCATGTCTCCAGCTTTAGTGAGGCCTGCTGAATTAACCCACTGGTTGAAATTCTTTTCTCCTATTTCAGATAAAGTTTTAAATAAAATCTTCATGCTACAAAACAGCTAACATTAGCGTCTGTGTGGTTTAAAAGTGAGGGAATGGGCCCAGTTCTGCTACCCCCTTCACATTGGGTTTGGGAAGGAAACGAATTGTGTAAGGTGAAGGGAAAACTTTAGCCTTTGTTAAGTGTAGAGATTCTGTCTTACGAACCCTGGAGTTCAGATAGCTCCAAATTTAAAAAGCAGACCACAGTCAGGTTGCCCTGAAACCTCCTATTTCTCCTGTTTCAATGTGGTCATCACTTAGTGTACCACATAATATCCCCACAGGACCTTAAGCATGAGGCAACCTATTTCCACATCTAAAAAAATAAAAAGAGCCCTCTGATTTCATTGTCAGGACAGTGCACTACTGGGACACAAATGCTATTTGGAAAACTGGGCAGATCTTGATCTCTCTCCCAACTGCATGTGAATCCACAATTGCCTTTAAAAAGCACAGCAGTGGTAGCAAATCACAACCATGCTAAAGTGTGCAGAAACCCAGGGACAGCTGGGAACATTCAGATGTACAAAGCACTGAGAGGTAGAAGACTCCAGTGGAAGCATGAAAAGAATAAACAAGCCTGCTGTGGTAGGTGGAGCAAAGAAAGCTTTATATGTAATTAAATGTGGATACTGGAGGGTTGTTCCCACTTTAAATGGGGTCTATGTTGCTCAGGCTGATCTCTAGCTTGTGGATTTGGGAGGTCCTCATGCCTCGTCCTCTTCAGGAAGTGGGACTACAGGCGAGCGCTGCCGTGCCTGGCCGGGGCAGGAGGCTCCTCAGGTCTGGCTATGTGTGCGGCCCAGGGAGACAGGCGGTGATACTAAACACCAACGCCCTGATCCCTTCAGTCGGAGCTTCATACTCCTTGGACAGCACAGCCCATCACCACAGGGCACTCCTGCCAGGAGTTTCTGCTGCTGTACGTCTTCTGGCCGATATATTGTCTACTGCAGAGGTTCTAATGAAGGACAAAAATAGACTACTAATCAAATCTGGGTGTCACTTAATTTCAAGCTAACGAACACTTTCGCCTACAGCACACCTGATTTGTTGCAAAGCTGCAGCCCAGAGTGGTCTCCTGAGACCCCCAAGCTCCACGCCAGAGCTACTCGGCTCTGGTAAGGGCTTCTATCTTTTCTTTCTTCTGTTACCCCAATACTTGCTTTGGTTTAAGAGTGAAAGCTTTGAAACAAGTGTTTCCCTAATTTGCTGACTTGTTTTTATAGTCACTAAGTTGCAGCAAGAACACTGCTTTTATAAGTCACAAATGTTCTTTTTTCTTAATGAGGTGATATATTATTCTCATTGAAAAGGTAGTTGATGGGAACTTCTTTTTGCTTGATTTCAACTTTTTCTTTAAAATAACAAAATATCTATAAATAATGCTCTTGAAGGAGGGCTGTCATAACAGTGAACATGACAGCAACATAAAGCGTAAACAGTGGCGCACACACCCTCCTAAGACCAAAGCGCTAGGATATAATCCCCACTGCGCAGGAACCTGAAGGTAACTGGCATAGAAAACCTGTACTTGAATTGATTTCTATAAAGCATACAGCCATCTGCTCCAACTCAACCCCATGTAAAAGGGTTTGAACCCAGTGCTTGTTCCTGGCATCAGACAGTAGAATTCTGCAGCAGGGACTGGTATTTAGCAAAGCTTAGATTCAGAGATCAAACTTTTCATTCACATAAAGTCTACCCAGGGATGAGGTAGCTCAGTGACAGAGCACTTGCCTCATTTGTGTGAGGTCCTGGATTCAGTTCCCACCACTGCAGAAATAGTAGTAGGGAAAAAAAAAAATCAAAACTTCACCTGCTTGTTAAAAATACTCTGGCTTTGAAGATGACATGCAAAAGGGGACAATGCAGCATCGTGTGCTTCTCGAAATAGTTTAGCTGCTCAGGTGCAGGCAAGGAGGCAGGTGGCAGGCCTGGTCGTGGCCTCACTTTACCAACACAGTACAGAGGGGGAGGAAAGCGAGGCGACAGGTGGGCTTTGCGCAAGAAAGCAAACCCTGTTCGCAGGCCTCGGAAGCAGCTC